ATAAGGAATAGTCTGTTATAGGAGCCTGTATTTTATTAATATGTTCTTGGTTATGTTAACAATTCTTATACGCAGAATGTTTCGACTTTCCCATATAAACCATTTAATTTTCGCTACAGTAAGTAGTTTTGTCATTCTCCGGGGTAAAGTTCCCTTTACCTTATATCCATGATCGAAATTCATCGAACCTGTTCAGCTGTTCAAACTTTCGCATTAATAATTTGATATGGATTAAGCTAATTAATATTTTTTTTTTATTTATACTTTCATTATTTTTATAAAATTGTAAACGCAAATTTTACATACAAGCAAATGCGTTGAATGTGGGTCAGTAAGGCCAGATGTGTCGATTGAATGTTAATGCGCAGGAGCCGATCGCGAGCTGTCATCTTGTCCATTGTTCACACTGGGTGACTTTTTTCTAGATATTTGTTTAGTTTAATGAGGTGACTTTAAACATAAACAACTATCACTCTTTAACGTGAATAAGTTATCGATATTTTTTTAATACTATTACTAAAATGAAATATTTTTATTCTTTTAAAATAGAAATATAGTGCTTTTATTATTTTTACAACATACTTTTACACTTATACAAGAATTGTACATTAATAGCATGGTAGCATGTTCGGGTAAACATTTTCAATTTTTGTGTTTAAAGACAAACTATATTTAACAATAGACAAAGTATAAGTAATGACGAAAACTATTGCAATTACACAGCATTTTTTTCTAAATGTGGCATCGTTGAGGTAGCTACGGAAATGATAAATAACGGAACTTTTAATTTAATTTGTGGAGTGTCTTGAGCATGTTCTTCTCCACTCTCAAAAATAAATTAGGCCCTTAAAAGAGTTGTAAATGTATTATGCTTTCAATTAGCTAGAACAATATTTTATAATCTAAAGAACATTTTACTAGAAAAATGTTTCTTTAGTAAAAGTTAAATATTCTATAACTTTTGAATCGATTCCGTTACAGTTAAAATATCGTTAAAATTCAATATATTGTGATTATTAACGTTATTTTTGTTTATAGTGTGTATGTTGCCTTAATATGACACCCTTGCGTGCGCGCAATGTAAGTATCATGTCGATGTCATATGTTTTTTGTCGTTTTATTAAATAATCAATCTAAGAAAGTTTTATAAAAGCAATAAACAATTGTATGTATGCCACGTCTTAATGCAAATAAAAATTATGAATCGAGTTTTTTTTAATTAGGTAGGTACTTTATAAGTAAACGGTAGTTATTCAAATTATACTAACAAATTTAAAAAAATCGTAGGTCCCTAGTTGCGCATATAACTTTAATAATTATGTCCAAACTCAGTGTCCTAAAATCAGAACCGTTGCAATTGACAATGATGTTATTTCTGTGGAAGTATATTTATGGACTGTCTGTAAACCAAAGGTTCCCAAACTTTTTGTCAAGCAGCCCACTTTTTAGATATTTGAAACTGACAAAACGTTACTCTATTTTTAAAGTAAATAAATAAATGGTTAGTGTATAGTTATAGTCTTTATCGTTGAAATGTCATTAAAGCTAGTAGGTACACATTTGTAAATGTTTTTCTCGGATTTGTGATCTTTTTCCATACTGAAAGAAGTCCTGAATACGAAGGCTAAGACATCCCAATAGTTTATTCTATCTGGCTCTTTATTGAATAGGACTTTGATTCTAATAAAATAATGATTGTGTATTGGAAACATTAAATACCGTCATCAATTTGAGGTAATTTGACATTGGTCACATAATAAATAAAACTACAATGACTTGCAATGAGAGAGTAAACAAATTTATTTCAGACATCCTTCACCTTAATTCGCTAGATGGGGCTGGTTACATATTTTGTTTTCTTTTTAACAATTAGCGTGTGATCCACCATCTTACTTTAACTGTAACTCTTTAGTTAAAGTACAGATTAGATAAAAAAATAGTATCACCATTTGACGATAGTCAAAATAAAATCGTTATTTGACAATGACAATAACTGTTAAAGCGAGGCCAGTTAAAGTCATAAATCTTAAAATTTTACTTCCACTAGCTCCGAACACAGAGCAGGGGTCGATATGAACTGATTTTAGTGTGCTAGCTGTACAGTACACCCTTGCGTGCGCGCAACTTCGTGCCAATGTCGTACGGCTGCATTTTTCCTTTTTTGTGTCACCCTTTAAGGTCATATACAAGACGGTGCCAATGTTTGCGTGTCCGAACACAAATTGATGTAAACAATGGACAAGCTAGCTGCGTTCATGGCTTCGCTGTTTTTTTTCTTCCAATACATCGGTATTGTCCTTTTAGCCGATACGTCTCTGTGTACTAGTTCATTTTATAGCTAGCTCGGTCCTAATTATGTTCTATCGTTAAACATGTCAAGGGCATTGCTTAGATTTTTATTATGATTCTCGCAGCACGTTATTATGGATAAATAAAAAAGTATATCATATGAATCGTACTGATAACGTATAATTTTGATTGATTGATATTTCTTTTTGAAAACTCTATGACAAATATTCTGTAATATTACCATTAAGTAATGGAAATGAGTAGATGGTTGATAATTTATAGCTGGATCTTTACGGTGTAATGGCTAGTGACCCTAATGGAGGATTAATGAAAAATGAGCGAGCGAATCAAATTAGGAATTGCTTGACAACTCAAAGTGGGCACAATCAGGAAACTGGCCGAAGCTTAACAACGATTACAGCCATCCCTGCCAACCATTCATTATGTTTACGCGCCACTATTAAGCGCAATCTAGCTCTCATCACACACGGACATGTAACAATAAAATGAACACTTGTGGCTCTAATACAACAGCCAGACAGCATTTGGCGCCATTTTATTGATCAGCGAAAAATTTCCGTGAGATGAACTCACGGAAATTTTATTTTTGAATGATTTTAAATATAAGAGATTTTTTTTAAACAAAATAATTTGCAAATATTTTTTTGTAAGTTTACGTGTACGTGCTTGTACTTGCTAAACTTGCAAGTTCATTTAACCATATACTTCTTAATCTAAACGTAATTAAAAATGTATTCAATGAGTAATTACACTATGAAATAAATATTTTAAGAATATATAGGAGGAATTATTTAAAAAGTAGCTCTCGCTTGAAAAAACCAAGCCACCAAAAAACTAAAACTCATTCGCAATTCGAAATTAGAGAATGCTCAATAAAATACGGCCGCCGAATTCAAAATTTATAAATAGAACAAGGGTAAACGCTTAAAAGTTGGGGTATAATTTGCTTTCGAAGCTGAATGACAAGTGCGGAAACATTGGGAAACTCCCCTTCGTGTGTTTTAGTTTTCCCCACGTACTCACTGCGTCGCGCGAGGCGAGTGCGTGCAACCCTTCATTATAACTCACGTCCATTATAGCGCAATCAAGCACTCGGCACATACGCGAAACTAAGGAAACAATAAAACAAAATTGACGTATAAAACCACTTCTTCAACTTATACGATCTAGAACTACACACTAACGCATAAAAGTTGAGCAATATTTCATTAATGTTAATTTTAACAATTACTTTAATTACAGTTGGTACTATTTATTAATGGACCATCAATTTTAACAACGCAATTATATATATAACGACAAAGGTTTTTTATACTCTAACATATAACCCGTGTAATATCATCTCATTTGGGGAAGATGAACAAACGAAAATCAGCTGAACAATGTTAAGTATTATTTTTTCTACCAAATTCTGTAGCCTTGTCAACGGATTTTTTATTTTTACTTCTCATCTGACCAGAGAAACGGTAAAAAGTTTAGCGTAAATAAAGACTGAGATTTCCATAGATAACATAAATTTTAACCGCTCCAGGAATCAAACGTGTCGTAAAACAGAATGTCGGAGCATAGCTTCCTATTTTATAAGCGACTAACTTTAATTACAAAGGTGTAAAATTTACACAGATACATGTTACTGGGTTGATATTCGACGCGTCGAAGGTAGGTACAGTGCAGCCATTAAAACCATGTTTTATAGTCCAAGTTTGCGACAGACTTCATGGACTCAAAACCTTTCACAAGATAATGCCCGACGTATGAATAGGTGATCTTAATTTACTAAAAGGTTCCGGTAATAATGCAGTGGATAATCGAACCACATGCGTGCGATTTATGGAATCGATAACAACGATGGTTATCTAACGGATCCTTTAATGATTGCACCGCTCTACTGCGGGCGGATCGCTTAGTCGCGTTCATAATTTGTGGCATTATTGAACAAGTGATACTCAACATGTTTATGGGGGTATTCAATAAATTTTTATGAATTTCATAAAAATTAAAATTTTTACACATTTCTTGAAATATTCTTACAAGATTCTTAATGGTACCTATTACTAATATTTACTTCAAAAATCATTCCGTTACAAATCAATGATGATGTATGATTTTCCAGACGTTTAAATCGACAAAAAAGATTACCCTAATAATAACCTAATACTTATTATAGTTTAGCATTGGATGCACAAAAAAAATTGAATCAGTGGCGTTGACAATCTGTGATCGAGGTCAGTTTTTGTACGTAATTATGTATTTACACCTGGTAATTATTTATCCATCCACGACGGCATTGATAATAAAATGGCCTTTAGTGTTTTTTATAAATCTTTACAAACATAAAATTGTATTTTACCTTAGGAAGTACCTACCTATGCGAAGATAATTTTGTTTACTAAGCAGCTCATTATTATTTATTGGTAGTTTATTTAGTTCTCATGCAGGACTTCCAAAACACCAGTTTAGCGTTTATATGTGACACATGACTGTGATTCAAGTACGGTGAAATCACGCATTTGAGGGAATGCTTTAAATTGTATACGTTAAGTTTATGTAACATAAGTTTTCCTCAATTTAGTACCACTGTTTCTTGCGATTTTATCTACTACCAAAGATAAATTATCAAGCAGAAAATTTACTCATTTAATAAGATTACAAAGATTTGCATAGAACAAGTAAACACAAGCTGTACTTACTGTGTGGTGGCGTGAGGGATAGTGCGGACACTGCTGAGGGTGGCACAGGTGGGAACATATCCTGATGCGGCGGGAACATCCGCGGCGGTGGCGGCGCCTCGTTTTCAGGCTCATCGGCTTCCTTGGGGGGCGAGCGTGGCCTGGCCAGCCGCACCGCCTTCAACCCGCTCGGAGACCGCCGCATTGATAAGTTTTCTGGCGTATCAGACTCTCCAGAACGGCGACGCGGACGCGCCTGCTTGCGCCTCGGCTGCGGGCTGGCCGGGCTCGCTGGCGGAGAAGGCGCGGGCGTCGCCTGCGCCGGACTACGCGCCACAGGCGTCGGCGATCGCTCCTGTCTCTCTTCCCGATCCTGATCTGCCAATCCACGAACTTGCAGCGATTCGCCCGCCCTTATCACCGTTCCGAGTTGCTCTTGTGCCACCGACACCTCTCCGCGATACATAAAGTCCACCACTGCTTGCACCTCCCATCCTTGAAAGTCCTTCAACACAATAACGGGGTGCTTGCACGGATTTTCGCTGAATATCCGCCGGAACAGAGGACTGCAGGCGCCGAGTAGGACCTTGTGTGCTCGCACTCGACGTTCCGCGCATACGAGGGTGACATCCACTAGCGTCTCCGCGTGCAGCAGCGCCTCGAAGGAGCGGAGCAAGTGCGCCTGGTGGTTGTTCCAGCGCAGGCTGTAGTGTTCTTCGCCGCCGACGGCGGTCGGTTTGTCGTCCATCGCGCGCGCCGGTGCCGACGCGTGTGCCGAGCCGCGGCGAGCCCCGCCGGGCGCTTGCGCGGCCGAGCGCCGCCCTCCGCCCGCTTCGCACCCCGCACTCCAACCCTTTCGTCGCTCAAAGAGTCGCCTTCCCGCCGGACCGCAACCTTATCATCGCACTATTCCACAGTATATTTTGTTCCACCCGAAAAGCACGGCAAAGTTAAGTTTGAGCACTGCACAGCACTGTTCTCGAATGTCGAGGGTAGCGGCGGGAGCGAAGGTGCGTACGCGTGTCACGGGTGGCTCGCGAACGCGGAGTGAGCTAGGAGACGAGCGCGCGGTACGACGGTGTCGCGCGAATGCCGAATAACCAAATATCGGGTTGGAGTCGGCGGCGCGGCGGGCAGCGGCCGCCCGGCGGGGACCGCCCCCGGTCCCGGCCCCGCCCCGCCGCACACACGCGCGCCCTCCGCGCCCCCACACATGTGTCACATCACTAATACCTACACATGTGACGCCTCCTACACGGTATGTGTTTTCGGGATACCTACTCTTCGGCAACTCCGTTTCAGATGGGTTTCAGTATATAGCCCCTTCTTACGGCGTAGCTCGAGCTCAATGTAAATACGACGCTGGCTCTGGGTTACTGAATGACGTTGTAGTAAAGGAGTTGAAACGGAGACTGCGCATCTATTTTAGTGCATAATTTATAGTAGTACCAATTTAAAACGTACTGATTCGGGAATTATTAGTTATTATTGTTGTGAGTTGTTATTGGGTGTTTACTAGAGTTAGTTTTTTAATATCCACTGACTTCTTTTTTTAATCATAAGCTACAAAACCATTTTCTGTTACATCTTCATCAGATTCTTTCAGAAGTTTTTTTTTTCTAAGGATAAGCGAGATTAGGTTTCTGAGAAAGGGTATGGCTATATTTTTTATTGTTGGAAAAATTGGCATTGCTCCAAACTTGTCATTAATAATAAAAGGTAGACTGTGGTATCAGTATTAATTAGTTGGTATTGATCCAACATATTTTAAAGATTTATAGGGCGCCCGAAGATTGAACATTGCAAAGAATGTAAGTAGGTACCTACTTACTGATTTGTTCAAAAATATTTACGGGGGCAATAATAACAACTTATTTTTAAAGATTATTTTTAGCTTGAAAAAAAAATTTTTTTTATTCGGCCCAGATATCAGACAGGACCTAGACTGAGTAGGATATTTTCTAGTAAACTTTTCAATAGATGTTATAAATCTATCATATAAATATATCAGCAGTTTGATGTTTAAAATAACAAAATAATAATAAAAGTTTTACTTGAAAATATTTTTATTTTAATGTACACAGATAAATAGAGAGAAGATAGGCAATTCCTGGTGCAATTACCCTACTTCTTTTCAAATAGGTTATTGTGAATAAAAAAATACAGTGGGTTTAGAGACTTGTCTTGCAGATACCATACATCCTAAAACTAGAAAAGTTTTAGGATTATTAACTGAATAAATAAATTATATAATTAATAATTGTTTATATGTTAAATAGGTGTAATGCATAAAATTATAGTAAACTTAATATAGACTGATGATAATGATGAAACCTAATATTATATTTATCTGTACTTTCATTGTGTGCGAAGAAAAATGGAACATAAGTTGTCAGCGGTAGATGGCGTTACGGGTAGGTACATTGAACTTAACAAGTAAGAAGGATTTTGTTCGATTTTAAAACTTTATCCAAAAACGGTTAGTTCATACGGGTGCTTGGTATTATAATAAATGTGATAGATAAATAGAAATTTGAGTTTATAGAAGACTATCTTTGTCTTCTGGAAATCAGTATAAATATTGGTACTTTTACGACTACATGCAATAAAGAAAATAATACTTAAGTTATTAAGTATACTTTATAATCTTTTACTCCCTGTAGTCATAATTAGTAATAATTATATTATCAAATATTGTATTTTGTTCTTTATATTTAGGAGGCACACACTGACTGCCTTTTTATGGTCTTTCCTTTCGCGGACTTGCTGGCAGAAATTTCAATATGAAAAAAGCAGTGCCCTTGTACAAATGTTGTGTCTATTCTTCTTATCTATTTTATTATGTGTGTGTACTAAATTAGTAAATAAAATAAATAAAAATAAAAAAGCATTTTATAAAAAATAGATTTGTAGGTTGCCCATTTTATAGTAAATAATAGAATTTTAAAGATTTAAAATCAATTCAGATTTCTGTCATTTCGCAAAAGTGAATTTTGTCTTAAAAAAACCTCTAGTTATCTAGCTTATTAAACACCGGGAATTTTGAGTTATATGTTAAACTTAAAAATGGTATTAATAAAAATATTGAGAACAGTCATAAAGAGTAACCTCCTTATTAATAAACAAGGAATAAGTTTAGAGTAGTTCAGCCATTTTTGCGTGATTGAATAACAAATAGTAGAAATTAGTTTTATGAGAATATCACAGGAGTGTTATATAATTAATATGTAAATATTATGTATTTTTATAATTGTAACTATTGTTTTCGTTTTGTAAGTAATTTGTAACTAATCGTTATCCACGGGAACTCTGCCGACAAACTATTATAATAGTTTGGCAGCAGATATTTTTATGTATAAACAATGTGAGTAAAAAAAAAATAGTTACGCCTTGTGTTCATGTCGGTCAAATGCAATTTGTCATTAGACAGAGACAACACATAGGTAGAGTAACTTATCCAAGCGTAGTCTTCGTTTATTAATAACAGGGCTAAATGTACTAATACACCATACAAAAATATTGATTTACAACTTTTACAAAACTTAAATGCTCCACATATGTATAAAACATATATATCTATATGGTATTATTTTCCATTTAAATTACGTAAATCCTAAAAGTACTTTAATTGGAAATAATTTATGACAACTACAAGTGTTTAAGTCTTGTTATTGCACAATTATCGAGTTAAAGCGGAGACACTTTTTGAGAAAAAATAAATATGCGGAAATTTCAAATTTAACCTCAATCTTTATCTGAACTCGCTAATAAATTTACGCGAGTAACTCAAAATTCACGGTGTGATAATTCGAAAGTCAATGTAAGTGGAACAAATATAAATTAAACTAGCTGACCTAATACATATATTGTTCGAAAACTATCTAAAATATATGTTTCTTAGGTTTTCACGCACATCACTCATTAAAGAAACTAACTTACTAAAACGAAATTACGAAATTTATTCATTTATTCTGACGATGCAGACCTGAAAAGGCTGCGAAACGTCAATAAATAAATAAATTTCGTGCATTAACCCGTTAAAACTAATTTTATTTAACTATCTAAAACTTTGTTAGCAACGTAGCATATAATATTGGAGCTGATTTCAAACAAATCTATTCAAATAGTGTGAATAGGCTTCATTTGGGTAAGCTCGTCTTATAATCGATCTCATCTCTGTCTTTGGACTATTCTGAGTGTACCCATGACGTCATAATATTGTAAAAAAAAAGTTGTGGCTGCACAAAAGCATTTAAAACCCTTCAATAATATATTGTTCTAAACTTTCATTCTTAGCGCGTAAACTCGCTAAAAACAAGGTACATGGTAACAATCCCGTAAATAACTTATATTGCCCATAAATAAGTACATAATAAAATTTTGTAAACATGAAAAATAATGAGTTAAATCTATTTATTACAAACAAATTTATATATATATATATATATATATTATGAAATGTTGTCAAATAGATTAGATAGTTTTAGTAAACTATCTAATCTATTTCACAAAATTTCAATAATAGAACACAATGATTTTGCTGATTCTAGAAGTTCGTAAAGAAATTTCCTCTTTTAAAAAACTACAGAGGATTTGGAATGCGGTACTTGCGCATAGAATGCTTATCATATTTGAACAATAAAATAATAAGGAATATATGACATTATTTATAGTATATCTAAGAAAAAGGAGTGAATTTTATGTTAGCTTTAAAAAGAAGAAGTATAGCAGAAAACTCAATCTTGTGTTTGATTTAACAAAATTGAAAATGTAGAAAAATTAAAGAGGATTTAATAATTATGACAATAGTAAGAGAACTTGTCGATCCAATGCACTGAAACATATTTTTTTAAAAGAAAATATACTTTTTTTAATTATAGTCAGGTTTAGCAGTTATGTTGACCTTTTAATATCAGCACAATATTACAAATAAATAAAGATAGAGTTCTCCCAATCAACGGCCGGTCCGAACTTGCCATATTTTGCAATAAATATATCATCATCATAAGCCTATTAATGTCCACACTGCTGGGGCACAGGCCTTCCCTATGGATGGAATAGGGAGATTGGGCCATGACCCGCCACGCGGGCCCAGTGCGGATTGGCGAGTGCTAATGACTGCAGCTGCAGCCGGGACCAACGGCTTACCGTGCCTTCCGAAGCACGGAGGAACTCGAGATAGAAGTTTTTGGTCACAATCCAATGACCGACCACTGTGAAAGTTGCTTTACTTCAACCATCGCAGCCGAACGCGCTAACCACCTGCGCCATCAGGCTCCTCGATATAAATATATAATTGCAATATAAGTATCGAAGCTTGTTTAACCTGTATCATTATTTTCAAATCCAATTAAAAACAGTATTCCACATAAATCACACAAATATGTGTATTATAAAGGCGAAAGTTTGTGAGTGCGTATGTTTGTTACTTCTTGACGTCTACACGACTGGAGCGATTTTAATAAAATTTGGTATGGGGTAAGCCGACACCCTGGATTAACTCATAGGCTACGTTTTACTGCGGGAAAATATCCCTAATAAACCGTGGGTAATACCGCGGGGCACAGCTAAAGTTATCATCGAAGCACTAAAGAGAAAAAGTGATAATCATTTTCCAGTACTCTTAGTACGAGTTTGAGCTCACGAAAACTATCATAGTTGTCGTAATTGTAAATAATGTTTCTATGTCTATTTTGGTGAAAAGTAACCAAATATACCTAAAATTTAAGAAGACGCAAATGATTTAATGATAGAATTTAAACACTGTTTATTTGTATTGAAACGAAAACAAAAGAATCAGTACCCTTAGTAAGAGTGCGAGCTCACGAAAACTATCATAGTTTTCGTAATTGTTTAACTCGTACTAAGGGTACAGTAATGAGGTAAAATAAGAAGTAGGTATATTAAGTAAGTGGCTATTCGTACTCTCTTCTCTTCTTTTCAAGGTAACCACGGAAGACCAGCGTCGGACAGTCTACGACATCCGACACATGCTAAGTGGACTGCCTTTTTAGTGATGCAAATGTTTAGACCTAATTTATTGTTCTTATGTATAAGAAAGAAAGAAAGAAAGAAAACCGTTTTTATTGTTGACAGCACATAACATACACATAAAATGAAAAAATACATTAAACATATAGTAAAACGAAACGAACAAGTAAAATCAACAA